TAATTAAAATAATAAAGGAGGCTGTTGTTGTAAACAATATTTTTCATCATTTGATTATAAGTTTGGCAGTTAATAAACGTTTTCACGCGAAAATAATGCCGTTAACTCTTACAGACGTCTCCCAAATTGTCGCTCTGTTTCTGTTATTTTGTTAAATTAAATTTAATTCTGCGTTTATTTGTCTTCTTTTTTGTTGCTAATTTATACATCATGTGTCAACAGTGAATGGTTCTTTAATAAAATAACGATCACTAGTTAAATTAACAATTTCTAAAGTTTGGTTTTGCGAAATTTTACAGCGTGGCAGGTTTTTTGCCGGTCAGTGTATATACATTAAAATACAGTTATAAAAGGTAACAAAACAATATTTTTCATAATTAACAATGCATATTAAGATCATTAGGTGATTAATTATTGTAGGAATTAGCTCGGTTTGCGCAAAGGTGGAGATAACACAACGACCGTAGCAACGAATCTTAACAAATTAAAAACTCAAGTAAATTTGCTGCTGCTGCTTTTATATGCTTTCTTATGAAATTATTTTTGTTTTATGCCTAGTATCCCGCAAACGCTTTCGAGCACGCCACTGGAACAACCAGTTTCTCCGAGGACCTGGAATAACCATTTATGACCCTAGTAGAAAGCGCGGTACCAGGCATTTTTTCAATCAATCTTCCCTCCTCTCATTCTACCTCTATGGTGCGCACTTACTTCAGACATAATGTACTGTCTCTTTATATGTGTCTGAAATTTTTCTGCTACTTGTACTTTAAATGAATGTCAACTATCAATCATTTTTATAAGTTGCTTCAAGGTGACTAAAATTTGACATGATAATTTTTTGTGTAAAGAACTCAGCAAGTGGTAACTTTCGACTCAATTGGAGTATTTTTAAGCTCCCGTATGAAAGATTGCTTTGGGGTACTTGTTAAAAGCAGCTTAAAAAAGACAGTTTTTTTTGCATTATCACTTCTCGTATAGATAAAAACTAAACACCAACTTTCGATTTGGTAATCATATTTTTAAGGCCCAGTCTTCAAGGTTGTTTTGGGGGTAGCTTTTAACGGTTTCTCCAAACGGGTTGAAAATTTGCATCAACAATCTTCGTATTGAAAAATAAGCAAATCTCGAGTTTTGACTTGATTGAAGTATTTTTTACCCCCAGTCTGCAAGTCTGTCTGGGGGTAGTTTTTAAGGGTCTTTGCGAACGGGTTAAAATTTTGTGCCAACAATCTTCGTGTTGAGAAATAAGCAAATGTCGAGTTTTGACTTGATTGGAGTATTTTGAATCCCCAGCCTGCAAGGTTGTTTTGGGGGTGATTCTTGAGGGTTTCTTCAAATAGGCTGAGATTTCGTATCGATAATCCCCATATTGATAAACTAGCGAATATAAAATTTTGACTTGATTGGAGCATTTTTAATCCCCAGTCTGCAAGGTTGTTTTGGGGGTGATTTTTGAGCGTTTTTTCAATAGGCTGAAATTTTGTATCAACAATCTTCGTATTGAGAAATTAAGAAATATCGAGTTCCTACTTGATAGGAGCATTTTTAACCCCCAGTCTGCAAGGTTGTTTTGGGGATGATTTTTAAGGGTTTCCCCGAACGGCTTGAAATTTTGTATCAACAATCTTTGTATTGAGAAATAAGCGACTGTCGAGTTTTGCTTTGATTGAAGCATTTTTAATCCCCAGTCTGCAAGGTTGTTTTGGGGGTGATTTTTAAGGGTTTCTTCGAATAGGCTGAAATTTTTGTACCGATAATCCTCGTATTGAAAAACTAGTGATTGTCAAATTTTGACTTGATTAGAGTATTTTTAAGCCCCAGTCTGCAAGCTTGTTGTGGGGGTAGTTTTTAACGATTTTTCCGAACGGGTTGAAATTTTGTATCAACAATCTTCGTATTGAGAAATAAGCACATGTCGAGTTTTGACTTGATTGGAGTATTTTTAATCCCCAGTCTGCAAGCTTGATTTGGGGGTGATTTTTGAGGGTTTCTTCAAATAGGCTGAGATTTCGTATCGATAATCCCCCATATTGATAAACTAGCGAATATAAAATTTTGACTTGATTGGAGTATTTTTAAGCCCCAGTATGCAAGGTTGTTTTGGGGGTAGTTTTCAACGATTTCTCCGAACGGGTTGAAATTTTGTATCAACAATCTTCGTATTGAGAAATTAGGAAATATCGAGTTTTGACTTGATTGGAGCATTTTTAACCCCCTGTCTGCAAGGTTGTTTTGGGGGTGATTTTTAAGGGTTTCTCCGAACGGCTTGAAATTTTGTATCAACAATCTTTGTATTGAGAAATAAGTGATTGTCGAGTTTTGACTTGATTGAAGCATTTTTAATCCCCAGTCTGCAAGGTTGTTTTGGGGGTGATTTTTGAGGGTTTTTTCGAATAGGCTGAAATTATGTATCGATAATTCTCGTATTGAGAAACTAGCGAATATCAAATTTTGACTTGATTGGAGTATTTTTAAGCCCCAGTCTGCAAGGTTTTTTTGGGGGTGGTTTTTAAGGGTTTCTCCGAACAGGTTGAAATTTTGTACCAACAATCTTCGTATTGGGAAATAAGCAAATGTCGAGTTTCGACTTGATTGCAGCATTTTTAACCCCCAGTCTGCAAGATAAACTGTGGTCTGCAAATTAGACAGGCCCGTAACATACAACTTAGTTTTTTTAATGGAGTATACTTTTTTCAGTCTCTAATAATAATTAATTAAATATCAAAGATCGTGCGCTTAGTATCTCACTTATATCTACATGAACTTTTATTATTGTCATGACTTTCCTCAAGATTGTCTTAAAAATTAGGAATCATCCTGTATACCCTATCTAAAGTTCGATTATCGCTATTTGGAGGTGACTTCACTGGGGATTAAAGAGTAATTAGCACTTGAGATGATTTATTGCTTAGACCCTGTTGTAAATGTGTCCATCAAGACGACGGTCTGCAGGGTCGGACCGGGCCACCGTGGCCCGCAGCGTACCGTTTCTTTTCATTGAAATAGTAATAAATCATTCCAAGTGCTAACTAAGCTTTAATCCCCAGTGAAGTCACCTCCAAATAGCGATAGTCGAACCTTACTAGCTAGGATAGGCAGACAATATTTGTATTTATACACCGTACTTAATTTGTAACAATTCTGTGACCGCTTATTTAAATCGGAAAAATCACTGTGATGTAAAAGAAATTTTTTAGATAGTTACACCTTAACTTTCTGAATTCTCCAAAAAAAAAAAAAAAATCAAATCCAGAGTCGTAACTAGAAGGTGCAACGACTTGATGAACTTAATGTGTTGTCGTAGCGATATAAAAAAAAAGTTCATTTGTGTACTTTGTGTTGATTTATCACACCATAAAACGATAAAAGAAACAACTTTTTTAACAAAATCAGTATCCCTATTTTTCTTTAGAGCACACTTATTGTTACCAATTTTCAATATAGTCGAAAATCTTTTGAATGAGTTGTGGCATCACGTGGTAGTAAGGAGTAGGTAATATTATTATTACCTACTCCTACTTATGTAGGACCTGATAGTTTAGCGGAAAGAAACTCGCCCAACATGTAAGAGACGTACCCAAGGATACCTAAATGCATCAAATTGACGACTTCCAAATCGTTTTACCACCATTTTGAAGAAAATTTTACTGTTAAATTTTTTTAGATTGTACTATTACTATTTTTATTCTTATGTCGCCTTCTTCTAGTGAAAGTTGGTGATCCAAATAGCTAACTGAACTTAAAAAGTGTTCCAGATTGAGGGCTCTGTTATGTTTTTTGTCAACCACATATTTTCATTTGGATATTTCAGATAGTAGATACAGTATTAAGAGTTTAGTTACTATACTGTAGTGTGGAAACCGGTGGAGTTGCTTCAGTCTTGTCTTTCGTTGTTTACGTTAATACTGCTTCGAAATAATTTTTCTTGCACTCTTACGACTGCTCTTCACCACACTTCGGCGCCATATCCTCCTCTAGCTCAACCTGCGGGTCGACATAGTTTCCACGGTGTAGCGCGGAGTGCCATAAGTGAGGATGGGGTATGTTGTGAGAGGATCAGTGACCGTCTATCATCCGCTGACTATGCCATCGACCGCTTTTGATAAGAGATACTAAGTTCTACGTCACCTCTTACATCCCCAAGTATACGTATTCAGGACGTGTTTAAAGTAAGCCCCTACACGTCTAACTTTGGAACCGTTGGATGTATAGTTTTGAAATTTAAATTTAATTTATTAATGTATGAATGAGTCATGAAATGATACTGATCATGCTCATAGCCCGTCGTTATATTAAATTATCAAAACTATGACATATCCGTATTTTTTTTTAATAAAATAGAGGGGCGAATGATCCCTCTTTTTAGAACTTATTTCATTTTATACATGATGCCAAAATTTAAAAAAAAATTGCAAAAATGATAGTTATTAATTTTAGTTAGTTCCTAACAAAATTCGTAAATTAATTAGACGACTTTGTCTTGAAAATAAACGAATATGTTTAGTTGAAAGAAGGCGCATAACAAATTTTACTGTTATGTATTATTATTATTATTATTATTATTATTATTATTATTTATTTTACTGTGGTCAAGAGATCCAAAGGGTTCATATCAAGCATTTATTAACATAACATAAACATATTTCTTAAGTATGTTTGATTGTTTCTCTTTGTATTGATATTTTTTTAAACTTTAACATCATGTGTAGAATGAAGTACTTACCCACGTAACTTACAAAGTTTTACTTCAATGTGTATAAAATGTATCTGCATGGCCGCTATAGCTGATGAAATGAAGTGGTCAACCAACCTTTGCATTTTGTATTATAGAAATGTTCCAAGTGCTGTATTTTATCGTCTGAACGATTACCAACACCAAAAATTTCGTAGGATCACAGATCGTTTCGGAGATTGTTGTCTACATAATAAAACCATCAGCAGGTTCAACTTTTATACCTATATGATCTGGAAGGTTTAATCAAGAACAACAAAGTAAGTAAACTTGAGATTATGGTTTATTTGATGAAAAACTCAATATAAATGATTTTGATGTTTAAAACAAATATAAGTCTTTGCCATTTCTATTGAAACACCACTTGTTAATTGTAAATTTGGCAACGTTCATATTCAGATAATTTTCTAACTAAAAGCCGTTGGCAATCAACCGAAAGCTAAATTTTAAGTAAAATCAACAGGTGGTGTTTCAATAGAAATGGCAAAGGCATACAGTACGATGTGCGATCAATAATTACTCCCTCAGTTGGTGTCAACATTTCAACAAATTTTCATCGAAATTAGCAGAATTGCAGACCTGCCATACCACCTTATTTCCCGTTGTCAGAAGTGACATGATTGACACTGACATCTAATTTCAATCAAAGTGTGTTATTATTAAAATGTTATTACCTAACTTTCTTGAGCGCTCCAAAATGACATAGTGTCAAACATTTAGATTAGATTCGGCAATAGCAGCGCAAGAAAATTTCTCAGAATTGGTTAATTCTATTGCCACCTGAAACAGTATTTATTGATCCAGCTGTATTAGCCAAAATCTTGATGGGAAATTATAGTGACTAAACATAAACAAGCATATTGCAGAAGATGACTGTACTTCTACAATTTTTTTTAAGGAAAAATATGTCCAGAAATTAGGCTCGGCTCACAACACAATTACGAGATGAGTGCATTCTGTATGTCATTATTTAACAAAAAAAAAAAAAAAAGTAATAACACATTAAAAGAAAACTAAGTCGTTACAACTGACAAAAAATGCAGGCACTTAAAATTGTCAGTCTTATTAAAAACAATATGATTTTTTTTCTCTATTAATTTACATACTGCACTGGCAAGACATCTGAATGTATATAGTCCTTACAGCTACTTAATGTGCTTATTACCTATTCACTTAACTTAGTTAATGGCAATGTTCCGTCACATCAACAATAACTGACTTTTTCCATCCAAATAAGAAATATCCTACACCAGCTCCTAGTACAACTGCTAAACATAGCCACACATTATATGTCATAAAAATTAACATAAGAAAGTACGATAGGACCATTTGAATCATGTGAAGAGCCGTTTGGTAAAAATGCATGACGCTCAACATAGTGGGTCTGTAACAAATAATATCAGTGAGAAAATCAATAAATCGATCGTATAAATGCATATAAAAAATTAAATCTCAGTATATTATAGTTCTACGTAATAAATATCTAAAACAAATTTTCATTTTTTGATAACATAATGTCGGATCTCATTCTTGCCAAGGATGATGGATTGCATCATGTCTGTATGTACACATTTTTCAATATTTTTTATACCAAGACACGGGAGAATAAAAACAAGTTTAGACAGTACTTCCCTCGCTTTTTGAATCGTGAGCAATACCTCGTATGTCAGATATTTTAACGGTTCTAAGCTTTTGCTGTACCTGTATTTAGATTTCTGATTATTATGTAATAACATTTTAACGTTTAGGTAACTGTAATTCGTTATGCTAAAGTCGAAAACAATACAGGACTAATAAACCACAGATAAAGCAGCATGTCATTTTACACATCTAAAGCGAGATTTACTCAACAGAATTTTGAGTTGACGTCATCAGTTTTTTGCAGATGATTAGAGAAAATTTTGTTAACATTTTGTAAACACTAAATCAAGACTAGTGTTTACTTCTTAAAATTTTAAGGAAGTCCATTACTTAATTTCTTAGATAAATCGTAAATTTCTATTTAGTTAACTTGATTTCTTAGGAAGACCCTTAAATAATAAAATAAAATAGAACTTAAGTACAGCAGCATATTAAAGTGATATTTTATTAATAAAATTTTCTGATGACGCCATCATTTTTTTGCGTGAATAGCGACATAAATTTTGATATGTACAGAGCAACATAAAAATTTCAATATTCTTCGAATTTAGTAAAAATGTGGTAAGCCGTCTTTGAACTAATTTGATAAAGAAATTACTTCATTCTCATTTTTTTATTCCATCTACATATATATTATTATTTCAAAATATCAAACTATGTTACCAAAACACAAAATAACACTGGACTGGAAGACATATCTTTAAGAAAATTGATTTAATAATTTCTTGAGACGACGTCATCACATTTTTGATGGGCATGAATGCATAAATTTTAGTCGATGCTCTCTAATCAAGAGATCAAACTATGTGGAAATTTTGATCATGTTTTATCATCTATATGGTAATCATAAAGTATATTAATTACCTAACACCGATATGATGTTGAAAAGTTTACAGATGAATAACTATTGTTATTAGTTGTAAACAAATTGTAAAAAAATTGTCTTCAGTTGTTTAGACAGAACTTTCCTCGCTTCTGAAGCACATTCAATTAACCTAAGTCCGATTTCTTAGATATACTATAAAATTTGATTCTACGAAATTATTTTTATTTAACTTAATATACAAATATGGACGAATTATTAAAATATAGGTAAATGAGTATGCTATGCGTTTGCTTCAAGTCAAGTTGTTTAGAAAAATTTTGTGATTAAGTTTTTAGTGGAGGCAAATTATATCAATTGGGATAGGTACCGTACTAATAACAACCCTGCGTTACTAGAATTTTAAGAAAATGAGATGCGTCGGTTTTGATTTATTAAATAAAATAAACGATTTATATCATTAATTTTTTTGACACAACTGTAGCAACAATTCTAAAAATAGAAGTAGATAAGAAACTACATGTATTACTGGTTTTCTAAATCATTCAAACAAAATTGCATGTGTAAAATCTCAGTAGTTCCTTAGTTTCTATGATCAATTGTAAAATTTTGTTTTTCTATTGTGATTTTTTTTTCAACAATTTACAGGAGCATATTATTTTTCACATTTTATGTACAGTTTATTAAGCAAATGTTGGCCAGAGTTTTATGATGTTGAAAAAATACATTTATAATTTCACCACAAATTGTCCAGTGGGATACAGAGATTGCATGCTCAGTAAAATCACTTCAAACCATAGACAGATAATAGATATCCGAAAATGGAGGGACTACTTTTTCCTATTCTATAAGTTATCAAAAATTAAGAAAACATGCAATTTTAGCTATTCGTTAAATCGAACCGGTTATAAATTACTTATGCTCAGCAAATAAAATCATACCTCCATCTTCCAAGAAATAAGATTTTTTGGATGTTAGTAGCTACTTGAGTTTTAAAGAAAACATTTCGAGTAGGAAACAGCAATGTGATGTTCATATTTTTACATGCAATTATTAATAAAAGCTTGTTAGAACACATGGTGGTAATAGAAGCATAAGCTATTCGAAAGGAATTAAAAATTAATATTGTGACTAATAAAAAACTATAGGGTGCGGTGCATTTACGGTTAAATATGTAACTTACGGCTGTTTATGGATGACTTCTCCAACCACGCTAGATAAACAAAACATTTATTAATTAAAAAACACAATGCAATGTGCAAAGAATTACATAGGAATAACAATACAATATTTTTTTGTAAACGATAGTTTAAAAAAAAAAATGGTTTCAAGTTATCTTTATAATAAATAATAATCTTTATGCTAAATATTCTTTGATGCATAGGCTTTTCAAACTTTCCCATAATCTATTAATATGTACTTGTAATCAGTAATTTATTTCATACTGGAATATATGTATAATTAACAAGGCGCGGAATAATATCTCATACGCTCGATCCAGTGCTGCGGTGTCAATACTTTGATTACAAATATATTTTCCTTTTGGACTATATCAACATAATTATAATATTTCAGGATCACAAATCTGTGGTCCTATGGTTGGAAAATTAAAAAGGGCACCAAGTATTATGATTTGAAGTAATATAATAATATAGAAGTACTTTTTTTACCAAACGTAAACATTCTTAGTACGAAGCACTGGCTACGGCCTTGTGGACCAGATCAAAGCGTCCCCGCTACTCGCCGTAAAACATACCTTACTTCAACTGGGGGATTGCAGCACTGAGATATAATTCCGCGCACTGAATAATTAATTATGCTATGCTCATGTGATGTGTGAAAATAGCAGTTGGTGTTAACAAGAGTATGATGACGCTGAATAAAGACTTTGGTATTCTGTTTTTATTATTTAATTATCCAACTACTTTTTACAAATAATTTTAAATGGCACAATTAATAGACAACTACAAGCCAAGGGGGGGTACGACTTCTCAAACTTAAGGCAAAAATTTATCATAAGATACTTATTCATGTCTGCAAGAATAAATACTAGTGATTAAAACACAACGTTCAAAAAATGCTACTATAACTTGAAACACAAATGTAACGAACAGAATTGAAAGGTTGAATCCCTTACAGAGAAAAAGGGGAGTTTGTTCATATGTAATAGGTAATCAAGCCGTAAAATGTCTTTTCGTTTAATTCTATTTCGGCCAACAGAAAAAAATTATAGAATTATTATATTATATTACTCTATATATCGTATTAATGAAAACATTTTAAAAAATACATTTTTTTATCATGACGACGTAAATAAATATAATATTTATAATTTTTGAGCCTTTGATCAAAATTATATTTGTTGCTTACAATATTTAGCCCAGTTCTGATTTAATACACAAACAAAGTACGCTATTTTGGCAACTTACTGGACTATTTGGTTGTCTTCTGATACCACACCTTTTTCGGGAAGAGTTACTGCTCTATACTGCAAAGCATTGTAGGTTTTCCAAAATAGATATTCCCTGTAATGGCAACAATGTCAACAAATTAGAATCATGATAATTATGTTAATTAATTCAATATTACCTATAATACTTAAGACCTTCATAAAGCGCAGCCATGAAAAAAATTCCAATCATCGAACCAATTAATCCTCCGATGGTTGAAAATTTCCATTGTTCAAACAGCACAGTTTCACTAAAACCAGTGTGGAACTGCAACAAATGTGCAATACGATAATAGTTAGAATGGTATAGTTATTTTAATACAATATTATTAGTATTTACCTATGTTATAAATTACTACTCAAAAAACGACAAAATTAAAAAAACAAACTGCATGCACCTAATTTTCTTTGTTTCAGAAACACAATCAGTACACATGTACATCACAGCGTATTTCGACAGATAACTATTTATTTAATAATTTTTCCTCTTAGTAACGTCAACAACCCTTTACTTTTATATCATGCTTGATATGTAGCATTCATAATAAAAGTACTGGGTTTTCAGAATTTTGGGGAGATTATATGAGAGATTGAGAAGATAATAATACTTTTACAGTTACTTACACAGTAATTAATATTTTTTGGGCATTCTGAGTAAACAGCCATAAAAAAATAACTTGTTACTAAGAAGCACTAGCGCGGTTTTATATACATTAGGGTGATTCAAAAAAAAAAAAATTTTTTTTTTCGTGCAAAGAGGTTCAAAAGTTTCTTTTCAACGTAAAAAAATACCAGTTAAAATTTGAGCTCTTAATATTAATATTAAGACCGTCCGCATCGTGTTTTTCTATTTCCCATAAGAATAACATGGGAAAATTTTTGTTTGCACCTTCTGATTTTTATTGCTAGCCCGTCGTGTGTCGTGAAAAAAATTCAATCACATATTTTTATAGAGAATTGAACGCTCTACAAAAAGTGTCTCCTATGATTGTGCGAGAAACCTGATAGTTGAAGAGTTATTTTAGGCTAAAGTTAAATTCATCCAAATTTTGACGTTTTTGATGCATTACAATAAATTTGATGGTCTTATTGGAATAAATCACCACAAAAATTTATACACATTTTAAATTTAGTTTTTTAAACAGTAATTGTTTATAATTTTATGCTATAATAAGGCCAGTAAAACTCTTTCCGAACATTTTCAGCATCAGTGGGTTAAAAAATCATAGTCAGGTTTCTCGCAAAATCATAGGAGACACTTTTTGTAGAGCGTTCAATTCTCTATAAAAATATGTGATTGAATTTTTTTCACGACACACGACGGGCTAGCAATAAAAATCAGAAGGTGCAAACAAAAATTTTCCCATGTTATTCTTATGGGAAATAGAAAAACGCGATGCGGACGGTCTTAATATTAATATTAAGAGCTCAACTTTTAACTGGTATTTTTTTACGTTGAAAAGAAACTTTTGAACCTCTTTGACACGAAAAAAAAAATTATTATTTTTTTTTGAATCACCCTAATATACATATATATATATAAACTTTTAAATGATGTATCAGATTTTCTCGACCATCAAAATATAAATTTTAGTTAATGTTTTCTATATATTACAGATTTTTTAGTTATAAGATAACTTGATCTCAATTTATTAAAATCCAGTTAAATAACTTGTTCCAAAAACATATTTGTGGTTGTAACTTAGATAAAAAAATTGCATATTTTCTTAATACTAATGGTTAGAAAAGAGTTCACTTAAAATATGAATGTTTGATGGATGTTTTCCAACTGTAAGACGAGTATAGATATTTTTGGGTATAATTGTTTGTTTCTACATTTAATATTATTATAGTTCCGTCTAACGAAGCTTTTAAATGTGTAACTATTTCAAGGTTAAAAGAAAACTGAAGGAATCAAATTTAAAATAAATAAAACTTTATGAAAAAATACCAACTGCTCAAAATATGCCTCGTTAAACTGTATCAATTTATATGGTTCTTCAAAAGGTCTTATAAAGTACAACTGTTATTTTCCCTATAATGATGAAAATTTGTGATCGCAGAATATTTGCTCTTAATGTTTGTTGACGACTCAAAGTCGTTTTATATTGGGTGGTTACTTTTCAAAACCATAGTTTTACAACAAGATTTAGCGCGTTTTTTTTAATGGTATGTGTTGAATGAAGATGGATCTCTATCTCAAATAAACGGGTCAACGAAATTTTCTAAAACTCACGGACTGTGCAAATCAAAATTTATACAACAGTTATTTAATCGTCATCTCATAATTTACACAGAATATCTCAGAAACTACGTTTTAATTTCTTTGAAATTTTGGCAGTATATTGTAAGATCACTTTAGATATAATACTAATAAAATTTTACAACTTTAGTCACAGAACCGAACCCGCAAAATTCTAAAACCATAAATTATACACAGGTACGCCCGCCATACCATATACCAACATTGTTTAAGAACTATAGAACATTAAAAGTCTATTCATCTCCTACAAAAAGTTGATGAATCCTCTAAAAAAAAGGATTTAATAAATTTGTATTGATAAACATGCTTGAAAATGCTATTTTGTTAGTATTTCTGTAATATGCCTTAACTTTTCAAACTGATTATGTTTATAAGTTGTCTAGAAAAAAAATGTGAATAGATTTATTATATATGTGTTTATATACACATATTAAACAACAATATGAGTATCTAATTAGTACACAAAAAATATTAAATAACTTATTGAAAAATCCGGAGACACGAGTTTCTTGACTCGGTAATATTTTTTTTTTTTTCGAATTGCTTCATCGCTAGCTTCTTATATTGTACATATTAAAATTATAACATATTTATTCCCAATAAAAAGTTCATGACGAGGCCTAAAAAACAAGAACTAACCTTAACCGAAGGAAGATTTTTGTGTGACAGATATTGATGAATTTACGTTGACGGCTTTTAAATAAAATAGTCACAAATTGTAAAATGAGAGCTCAGCAAAGGGCATCATGACAATACTCTTATTCAAAAATATCTACCTAAGCTGTGCTGGTTTTACAGTACATATATGTATACTGCTACTAAAATTAGATTTTTTTTGTGTTGAAATGCAATGTTACTTTGAGTTTTCATATTTTTAAAATTAGATTTTTCTGTTGTTATCATATTTTAGAATCTATTTCAAATTTTATCATAGTTTTTAATAGAAATGACACGAAACCCCATTGTTCCTTTTAATTGATTTTTTAGCAAGTGTTTCTTGACAATTGACAATTTTTAAAATGATCAGCAACAAAGTTGTAGCTATCTCCATCACTTTACGTGCGTAGTCTGTAGTTGAGTTCAAAGATTAAAAGGCTACAGATTGATGTAAAATATCTTTTTCTTTTAAAAATAATTTTACACTATAATCCAAAATTTTGTCAGTGGGCGATTTAGTGATTTTATTAATAATAAAAAAATCACTTGTTGAAAATTTGAAAACAAGTTTTGTGTAAAAAAATATTTATTTTAAAGGTAAATAACTGCACAGCAGAAAACAATTAGAAAAAAGCCTACAGTGTCCATCACTAATAATAATTACTAAAAATTTAGCACTACTTTTTGATCAGGATGTTAATTGTCATTTTTAAATTTAAAAAAAGAACAAACACCTGCTAATGATTGCTAATTATAAATTTATTTCTTACCGCCATTGACATATGACCATCCATTGAATGTGGAGGCATATCAGTAGTCATATCCATACCGTCATGCAGTGGATGGCTATCCATACCGTGAACACTATGATCCATATGTGCATGATGATCCATATTTCCTAAAATAAAAAAAATATAAATATGTACAAATTTAGATAAACAATATAAAATAATTCCAATCGCGTATAATTAATTAATAATATATACGGTGAATCAAATCACGTTTAGTCTAATATGTAATATTATTATTTTTCAAACTGGAGGTACAATTATAGTTTATTACACTTATAACAAACTGACCTATGAAACCCATGTAAAATATACGGACTGCTTCTTGCAAAAGAGTCAGTGTTGTCTGCTTACAACAAGGATCTGAACTGGTCTAACTTTTCATTCATAGAGTGACGATTAGTCAAATAAAAAGTATTTCACGATTATTATCGCCTACCGATAGATCTGCGGTTTAATGGAGGGAAATTATCACCGACACTGTCACCGTCACCACATAAAGCGAACATATTTTAATATAAGAAGTTATATATAAAATAAATAATAATGAGGCAGTTTGAAAAAATACATGCATACATATATTATCAGTGGCGTATTCTTATTTCTAATTTTAAGAACTGTGAACTCTATATACTAGAATAAATTTCATTAAAAATATAGTCTTCATTTACGACACTGAAGTGCTCCACATAAGTGTTAATTAAGTTAGGGCTGCAGTAATAACCGTATGTATCAAAAATTGTCGATTCATTATTTTTATTGCAATCGGATGCTACATACGTTCTAACATTTTATTTTGATAGTTAATCTTATAGCCAATTTTGAAATAGTTATTTTGCCTTTTGTTTGCACGATACTTGTAAAAAACAACCAATTGAAATCGCTGCAAATTCCTTTCTACAGAGTCAACGACCGAGGAACATTTTGCCTACCTGTAAAAAGTGAACTGTTTTATACTTTTATGCTTCTATTCTGCTGACCTTAAACTGTAATAAATATATTATTAATGAATAAGTGATTAAATGAAAATAGGAATAGAAGTTCGACGCTTGAGATTTGTTGCAGTTATCATTAAGATTGTAAAGCGAAATTTCCTGGATTTTTTTATTTAGCGTGAAACGAAAATTCACTTATTCCACAAACTGATATATAGCTTACGCTGACATATTTTCCAGTAATAAGATTTATTGACTTAACTTTTGTGGGGTGTATAAATAAATGTTGACCTCTACGATGGAATTTTTAAAAAGGTGTTTTAGTGTGATTTCTAAAAGATACAGTTTTTGGGGACATGCTTATCGATTATTGACATAAAATTTAGTTTAATTCTTCATTAAGGACGAATGTTATTTGTGATTCTGATAAAATAATCTGGATTAATAATATATTATTATTACATTAAAGACACTTCATTTTCATTGCCCCTTGTATTGTTTAATTGTACTTTTTAATGCCTTGTTGCGCCTGAAAAGAAAGTTTTGGCATAGACACAAGATGTACTTGAAGATAATTTGCGGTGGCAATCTAACACGATAAAAGTTGTTTATCAAACAGCTATGTACAGAAAAACAAACAACGTAACAATGATAGAGTGGACTACAAAAACAACCTAATCCCTTTCTGTTAGTTTATTAATGGTAAAATATTGTAAGTTCGCAATAAATTCATTATTAACGATGTGTTAAACATATCTTTCAAAAAAAAAAAAAAATAATCGGTTTATGCTGTGAGGTAGTAGTGGTCAATTTTAATATCATAAACATGACGTTTCTAGCTGTTTATTATAATCACTTTCAATGAGTTTATTACATGTGTTCATTTCAGAGAAGTATATGCATGTCGAACAGATAGGAATACTGGAAGGATGAAATGTGTGTATTTCACAAAAACCCCCAAATCCTTTTTATCACGCTTTTATTAGCTTGGGTTGTATGTATCTATGTATGTATGTATGTAACGGAATCTTTGAGCTTAATTTTCATCGGTTTCTAAAAGTCTGATCATCTTGAAACTTTGCACACGTCTCAAGGATCGATGACAATGCAATAATTTGATAACAGTTTCCCATTATCCTTATTAGGACCGCCAGGATCCTCGATCCTACGGAGACCACTGAGTGGTTCTTTCTAGAAAAATCTAAATAAGTAATTAATTCCCCAATTTATGAATTTGTCGCAGACTAAAAAATGAAAAATAAATAATAGTTTAAAAAACTAAAAAAACACGCTTTTATTGCTAATCGAACTAAAAACTAGAAAATAATTTTTAATGACAGAGTTTAATATTACAGTAGTAGAAGATCAAACAATCAATCATAATAAATCACCTCAAATTAAAATTATAATAAAATTTAAGTTATTAACAGAATAATTCAATTCAGAGTAAAAAGCGTGGGGTGCATTTTACTGCGGTTCATAACCATCCTCTCATAGATAGTTGCCAATAGAATGATTGTAATATTTAAAATATCAAGCACCCCACGCTTTTTACTCTGAATTGAATTATTCTGTTAATAACTTAAATTTTATTATAATTTTAATTTGAGGTGATTTATTATGATTGATTGTTTGATCTTCTACTACTGTAATATTAAACTCTGTCATTAAAAATTATTTTCTAGTTTTTAGTTCGATTAGCAATAAAAGCGTGTTTTTTTAGTTTTTTAAACTATTATTTAGTATAAACGATTACACGATTCCTTAAGTTCAGCACATATTGGGTGATTCACTTGGGAATTTGCATCTACATATGACCCGTGGTACACCAAATTAAACGATTTAAAAAAAAATGAAAGTCCTTTTCCGTAAGTAATCATCAACTTTTTTATATAGAGCGGTATATATTTTTCAGTTGCATTGGACAAAGTAGCTATTTAATTTTTTTTTTTTGCAATAATATAATAGCGTTGATATTTTCAGACGTAAAGCAAGGAAATTAACATGAGAATCTGAAACTCTGATAACAAAATTGAAATAAAAAAAGACACTTACTTATAATTATTTTTTGCATCACAGTAAGTATTCGAAATTATTTAATTGTTAAAGACAAAAAACGACCACTATTTTAGATTTGAAGCTAGTAGTACTTTTCTGTATTATAATTTTCTTTAAATTGAAGAAGTAACATATACATAAACGTACGTATATCTGCGTAGTCTGCAAGCAGTTATTTAGACATTACTACCAAGAGAAAAAAATCAGATATTTCTCTTTTTGTATTAGTTTGCTTCGTTTAAAGTTTTCGTAGTAACAAACAAAAAAATTACTTCGATAAGAATAACTAACACTATACAAGAAGTTTCCAAGATATGTACAACAGCAAAGTTAAAATTCAAATTTCCTATTTGACTAAGAGTAAGGAACCTTCATTTCTGATTTTCTGGAAACTGTGAGAATAAAACTACTTTGGAATAAAATAATTTAAAAAGTGTATTGTTCTTCATGCTGCGATGACCGAGAGCCGAGAGGTAGACTAAAAAAAAATTAGGCGGTATTCATCCAATTTATTCAGATTCTCGTTGCACACGAACCTACTATGCCGTGCACACGACACCACAAATTCAATAAATAGAGCAGTATCAACGAAATTCGACGTTAAGGATATTGACAAAGTGGTCTATATTTGTTTGAGAAACCATTGCTTTGCACACGATGCTACATAGTACTACAATTTAGTATCGTGTGCAAAACTAACGCTGAGGCCAATCACGTACACTTAGCATTTGGCAACAGTTTCAGGTGTTATCAGGTCATGTGTATCTGTTTTTAATTATTGGTAGTGATGTGATTACTGATAAAAAATAATAATATAAAAAATATAACGTCTTTAAGCTAATAAAATGTCATTTAAAAAAGTTTAGTGTGTGCATTCAATAAAAAAAACAGCAATATAAAAGTTTTGTCTTACGATGTTTGCGTATTATAAGTTTTCGTCTTTCCATTCAATACTTTATAGTTAAGAGGCCAAATTACTTTTAAGAACGTATTACCCATGATGTTATCAATATTATTACATGTAATCTGAAGACAATGAAATTGCAATTATCAAGTGTCCTGTTTATTGACCAGCAATAAAAAGTAAATGGAATTTGATGAATAATTATGTGATCAACGTCCTGCTTCTGTTATCATCGATTAACAAAGTCCTTAAATTTGCCTGTTGAATAAATCATAGCGTTTGAGTGTACACCATTTATAATCCTTTTTATTGACGTTTTTGTACTTCACAAGCTCAGTATATACACTATACGTCCAAATTATTCGATATGTAACTATACTTCATGGGGTTACCAGACACTTTGGGGTGTTAGATTTAAAATTTAAATTCATTTTGCAAGCTTTGATGGTACAATTTAAAAAAATTGGTCTAAAGAGTTTAGACAGTACTTCCCTCGCTGTCGGAAACGTGACGACTGCATGCCTATTATGTTTTTTTTTCGCAGTGGATTTCAAAGAATTCGGTTTTGTAGTTCCTGAGTAAATCAATAAAATAAATTTACGCATTCATTAATTTTTTTGAGTCACCCTGTATATGCAAATCCAAAAAAAAATCAATGGAGTGATAAATCACAAGTACAGACTCATCATATTTTGTACAGTTTAGATAGGATTTATTCGGCAAACTTTCGAGCTGACGTCATCAATTTTTTGGAGGGGATAAGCAAATATATTTTGACTAAACATTTATTATGCTCTTTATAACCTTAAAACATCTGCAAGATTTCAAAGCATTCGATTTTGCAGTTCATGATTAAATCAAAAAAATAAATTTACGCATTCATTAATTTTTTTGAGTCACCCTGTATATGCAAATCCAAAAAATATGAATGGAGTGATAAATTACAAGTACAGACTCATCATATTTTTACAGTTTAGATAGGATTTATTCGGGAAACTTTCGAGCTAACGTCATCAATTTTTTGGAGGGGATAAGCAAATATATTTTGACTAAACATTTATTATGCTCTTTATAACCTTAAAACATCTGCAAGATTTCAAAGCATTCGGTTTTGTAGTTTCTGAGTAAATCAGTAAAATAAATTTACGCTTTCATTAATTTTTTTGTATCACCCTGTATATGCAAATCCAAAAAATATGAATGGAGTGATAGA